AAAAAATTCTAAAGACATTCCTACCTTTCCTTAAAAATTCATAATTTTCAACGTCAAACCAAGCATATGAATTATACCACATTCATATACTCTGAGAACTTCTTGCAAATCTTGGTACTTAAAGTATGGTCCATGGACCAGTAGCATCACTACTGAAGAGTATGCATTGAAGCAAAATCCACAAGAGGTTATATTTCACTCTTACTATTACATTATAATTATTTTCACTTTGTATTTCACTTCATCTAAAAGATGAAGTCTTTATATTTAGCTGTAACGAGGAGACCATAGTGACAGGGTTCCCTGTTATTTTCAGCAGCTGGCAGCCAGTCATAACAAGGGCAGGGAGGCGGGGAGGAGTGCTTTGAGAAGTATTGATCTTTCCCATGTACATACTCACAGAGGCTGAATGAGACATTTCTAGACACTGACTTACATTTGCTGTTATGAACCATGACCCTTTATTTCTTTGTGCTGTTCCAACTGCCCTCTTTCATAATCCTGCTAGGTAAGTAGCAGTCATAGCTCCAATAACATTTTACCCTACATTTACATGCCCCCCCCACCCATTAGACCAGACAGCATATATTTTGTGAACAGGAACTGAATCTTCAACTTTTTAAATCTCGAAGTTAAAAACTATGGTTGGTAAAGTGTAGGCGTATCCTCCTCTTAATACATGAAAAGAATAACTTGGTCACTGATTAAGTAACCAATTCACTAAACTTCAATACATGCAAAAATCTTATCTACTTGTTTTAAAATTATACTGTTTTCACAGCCAAGTCAATTTGTTTCTCCTATAGTTCACTTCTGTAAATTGGACTTTATTTAGTTCATGATAGAAAAATATTCATACAAAATGATTCCTGAATTAGACCTTTCTTTCTACTAACACTTAGTTCTATCTATCTTTGAATCCCTAGTAATGCCTATAGTTTCTGGTACATAACACACACTAAAATATTTGACTGAATGAGTTACTTTTAAATTACCATGAGGCTATAAGCATGTTACAAGTAATGGGGGGGAAAAAAAACTCCAATGCAAAACATTTTAATAGGTTGTCAAATATACACAGTTATTAGAATTATCTAAATATCACTTATAAAAATTGGTATATCACATTAGATGACTCTATAAAACAAAAACACAAATCACACATTGACAATAACCCCTGCAGTCCAAGAATTATCCCCATCAATAGTACAAATTACAAACACACTAAAAGAAAAAAAAAAAACTAAAGACATTACTTAGACATTTAAACCAAAGTTACTGTGACTAAGTACATTCATTCATCAAGTACAAGAAATTTAGCATTGCTGCTTATAGTCACTAATAACACAATTTTAGGTGCAATTTCACATGCTTTCATAAATCTTCCAGTACAGTTCCCATAGTAAAGTGTCTGTGTGCACTTCATTTTCATTTATATGCAGGTGTATCATACATCATACTTAAGATTATTTCACTTTATAATTACACTGTTTATATATATTTTAGGTGAACACCAGGCCAAAATTTAACCCCAATGATGACATTAAAAACAATTCTTGAAAGTACAAGCCAATTTGTTTAATTGAATGAGTACCTTTTCCTCTTACTAGAATCCATCAAATTAAGCAATAAGAATTTAAAACATTAACAAAAAACGATGACTCTAATTTTCCTGAAATATTAACAATTTCCTGAACTATTTAAAATTTCAATAAAATCACTGAGTCAAAACGTTAATTTCATATTTTAAAAAATTTTTTTGTAGTACTAGGGATTGAACTCAGGAGTGCTCTACCACTGAGCTACATATCCCCAGACTTTTTATTTTCTTTTAATTTTTTGAGATAGGGTTTCCCTATATTGCCTGGGGTGGCCTCAAATTCATAATCCACAGAATCCAAAGTCTCTGGGATTATAGCATGAGCCATCACAACCCCCTACTGCCAAATTTTAAATATCAGTGATTTAAGATTGAGGCCTAAAATTACTTGTACTAAACTGTAAAATACAATTTTAAAATGTGCAGTTAATGTGCTTATGAATATGTAATGGAATGTTTTTTTTCACAGTAATGTTATGTTAAACACTACTCTAAATGGACAGTCTAAGTAAACGTACCTTTACCACCAAGAATATTGAAAAATTAGGCTTTTTTACACTATCAATAGCTACTACCCAAACTCAAGAGTCAAATGAAGTTTACAAAGCTGCAAAATTATCTAAACTTTGTAATGGTTAGTTGCCTCACCTTAATTCAGTACTTATTAATCTTTACACAAACTCAAATGCTAGTTATCTTTAAATGCATTTTTCTCTATATCTCTATTTAAATTGAGTTCCTAAACCTTACTTGGCCTAGACAGGATGCTTAAAATAGTTAGGGCCTTGTCTGATTAGTTCAAACTGTATACTAGGGGTAGGGATTACAAATGCTTGGCACACATTATTCATCCGATACATCCGATGTTTTTGAATAAACTAAGAAGCCTGGCCTCCAAAGAAAACTGTACTTGTTTCCCAAAATATTAATGAGTAATTACTACATCTTCAGATAATCAAACTGACAATTTTTTAAGAAGAAATTGATGCCTCCTGGGCTATTAAAGACATTATAAGATACAATAGGAAGGAAAACTGAAGCTACAAATATACCAAATCAAGGTTAAAGGCACTGGATAAGGAATAAAATTACAAAGCACTGTAAACAATTTTTAAAGCAAATCAAGTTTAAATTCAAACTCTAAGATAAAATGGTACTAAAAAGATGACAATGCTTTAAAATAGTGGACACGATTTCTGTAATTTCATGATAAAATTATTTCACTGTTCTAGTTTGTTTATCCTATAATATTCCAATATCCTTAAAAAATAAAATTAAAAATGTGTTTCCAGGTTCTTGAAGCAAGAAAACTACAACTCAAAGAACTATGGAAATTAATTCCTTTTCAAATATTATAATTTGGTAGAGACTTTACAGACATGATAAGAATATCTTGGAAATCATAAATACTAAATTATACTTAATCCAAAATTCTTTAAAAGTTCTAATTCAGTAGAACAGTCTTGAGGCCCACAGTAGCAAATTGTAGTGTAAAGAGGCATAATAAGTACATTCTTTCCAGACACATAAAACAAAGAATCATGAATACCAATTTGAAATACCACAAGCTCCATGTTAGAGCCATTTAATATACACATTTTCATAATTATTTCTTGAAAAACTATTTAGATAAAATATGTATCATTTATCGTGGATTTTAATTTATTTGAATCTATGCAACTTCCATCCATATTAAAATATCAATTAATGTAAATACTTTATTATAAAACTATTTTACAATTTAAATTTCATTTGAGAAATGTATTCATATCCACAATTTCTTAAAAGTCCTTTATATGAGTGCATTTCATAAGAAATACACTAACATTATTATTTATGTTTCCTAGGGGAGAAAAAAATTAATAATCCTATTAATCCAAACCATATCATTAATTTGCTTATTTCTTAAACATTTACATGTTCAAACATGTTTGCTGAATAGTGATCATTCATCCCCACAGTGGCATACTTCCGCATAATCTTAAGACAGGACTAGATAATAGTCACATGTAGATTACAGAAACAGATACTTATTCTGTTACATACAAGCTTACTTATAAAGTAATAACATAAAATGGTCATTGGGTAACAGTGATAAAAAATGTAAACAAAAAGAATTAAATGTTAATCCCTTCCCTGAAAAACAAAGATAAAAGCACTTCTTGTTTTATTAAAACAAAACATGATCTATTTTATCAGAAAGGCAAGACATTGACTTTACAAAACTCTATTTCCAAATACAGATAAAGAAAATCTAGAACAGCTGATTCAGACTTTATTGAACTAAAATGTGCAAATAATCTGATAATACTTAAATTTATTAAATTTAATGTACATAGGCTGACACAATCCCATACAAAAATCCTCTGAAGATTCAACATAGTGTTCATTTATATGAGCTTAACACTATCTAAGTAACAACAACAACAAAAGTCCATATTGAAGAAAAAAAAGAGTAAAACTAAAAAAGTTTCTATTAATTAAGACTTGAATTTCATTCCCACAAAAATGTATGGCCAATACCTACTTGGGAATACAGAAAAACATCACATCCCAAGGAAAAATATTTTACACTAATTCTAAATAAAAATAACAAAATGCATATAAAGTTATGCCAGTTTAAAAGATTTGCTAAGTATAGTATTCATAGAAATTTATCTGGTGACTTTGTTTGGACTCAGATATTTGCAAAGTACCCTCGGTGAGAGTTGGGAAGCTAAGAAACAAAATTTCCTCCATACCACATAAAAATGGCACTTGGATTTAAAAATTTAAATTGTGATTCTGAGGTAAAAAGAGGAGGAAAAGATCTTAAATCATACCTAGTTATTTTTTAAAAGGTGGTGTGTGTGTAAAACAAAGGTAATATTTACAAATGTGTTTTTGCCTCTGCCCCCAATAAAATTAGTTTCTCTTTTGATATGATCTAAAGCTGTTATGAATAATAGTGAAACAGAAGCACAGATTTAGATATGCTCCAAACCCTATACAATGTACTAATTTACACACAGTATTTTTAAAAACACATGATCAGATGCTGTTTTTCACTGCTTAACCAAATTCTGAGAAACACTATATTTAGCAACAAACATCTATACCACTGCTTAACTAACATGAATTTTAAAAGCAAAACACTCTAAAATATTGTTTAGAGGGAAAAAAATTTCAATCATTTACCTTTTTGAAGCCTCTGTTTGAGAAAAAGTATTATATGTATACCTACATATCATGTAATGTCTTCTCACATTGTAGTAAGTATAGATTCCATTTTTGCCACAAAAGAACTTGCAATAAAAGAATTTTAAAGAAAAAAATTTGTTTCTTGCAAATAATTTCTCTCTTCTGACCCTGGTAAAAATCATCAGTGCCTTTAATTTCAAGATATTTTTTGTTGTTGTTGTTGTTGTCCATTTCCGTTGTGTATTTCACAAAGTATAATATTTTGTATTACATAGATAAATGGAAATTAAATGGAAAAACCTGCTTTTGGAATGCAACAATTCTAAATCATTTCACTAAGAAGCACCTTTTGATACGCTGGTCTGAACTTTTAATATAAAACCTAAATGGTACTTATTTCTGAAGTAGAATTTTCTCCAGTTTTAATAACTTCATACATAGCAATACTAAGGATATCAACCTGTGCTTTCTAGATTTTGAAGGTGTTCTAATTATGTCATAGGTTAGATATGGCTCATTTTCAAGATTGGGTGGATAGATTTCATGATACATTGGCTACAGAAAGCTAAATAAACTCTTACTGAATAATGGTTTGCATTTTGCTTGAGCCAAATAGATGTTTAGGCCATGTACCACCACATTCCCTGCTTAACATTCCTGTTTCTTTATTCTTCATAGTTTTCTAATGAACAAATTAGTATTCCTGAGTAAGATTATAAAAAAGTTAACCTTTCTACCAAAAGTATAAAGACAAATAAAATGTTGACTCACAATACAAAGTTTTTACACAGCATTACAGGTGCAGAGATAATGACTGCTGCTCTTTATGATGATTTGTCCACCCCTTAAAAAGACTGCAGCAAAAGATTCAATTGTCTAAAATACTTCGAAGTACAGTAATTAAATGCTTTAGACCATAAACATATCCCTCATCTATTGTGTTGCTAGGAAACACATGAGCAAAATCTATCATTCGCACTTCTACTTCCGAAATCTCTTGGCAACCAGTGGGAAGATGGTAGAAAACTTTTTCCAGTTGGGAAAGTACATTTCCATTTAAATGTTCCTGTGACATGCTTTTCCACCCATTGTCTTGCTCCATATTTTCAACTTTCAATGAAGTCTGACTGTGATGTTTTTTTGAATACATTTTTCTGTGACGAGCATACATCTTGGATAAGCTTTTGCCTACTGAAGCCTCTATTTTTCCATTTGCTGTGGAACTTAACACATGAAAGTTATTGTTGTACTCCAGTAACTCTGTGTCTGACAATTGTCCTTTGGACAAAAACTTTTCTGCCAAAGTTCTGTCATTTGATTTTGTAGTGGTTGGCTGAGATGAACCTTCATAAACAAATAATAATGAACTTGCATAAAAGCTAAGCTGCTTCTGGCTTTCAAACCACTGCAGAATTTTCTCAATCTTCTGAATACTGGCAGCAATAGCATCTTTTCTTAGACAGAACCCATTATGAAAAAACTTGGAGACTCCTATAAAACAATACATTCGGATTAGAATCAATGTATAAAATAGTTATCATTTGGAAAGTGGATTCATAGTAGATAAAATTCTTCAGTATTTTCCCCACCATCCTTACAGTTACTTAGTCAAACTTGGAATTCTAGGAATTCCAGTTAGACATAGAAATCTTAGATCTCAATTTTTGGTGATGAACTCATATAAGAAAACATTTAAATGACACAAATGTAAAGTGAAATACTCCAGTCAAACAAAAGAAAAAAGAAAAATAAATTTATGACAGGTAGACTGGAAGTTTAGTTCTATGTTTTCTCTGAAGAAATGCCATTCCAAAATTTGCTACTGTGAGGAATTTTATGGAAAAAAAAAAACCTGTTTGTTAGAATCACATTTAAGAGTTAATCTAAATCCTAGAGTCATATAACCATTTTTAATGATGTCAATGGCCTGTAATCAAATACCAAATCATAATTCTACTAATTTTTATTTTTCCTCAATACTGATTGGTCTTTTCACAAGAGTTAAAACTTGCTTTTGGGACTAGCACTTCTCCAGGATGACTGTTAAGCAAAACAGAAACTTTTAAATGTTTTAAATAACCCGTGTCATTAGGCATCTCTTAAAACTATGTCTTAAAATTTTGTCATACTTGGGAATTTATGGGTATGTACAATTTTATTTCTGCTTTTAAATAACTTGTTCCTTCACCTTGGAACAATAACTGTTAAGAAATATATTCAGATAGGACCAAACTGTATCCCAGAAAAATATTCTTTAAAAAGTCAATCTGAATATTATCTGGCTGTTGGTTAAGTATACTAAAGGAAACATTAACTGTCAGGCTCACACTGTGGATGTTTATTTTCTATACATAACATAAAAATTTTCCACAAATTCGCGCTACACATAAACTGGTCCTTATCTTAGTAGAGCTAAGAATGAATGTTTCAGAGATATAGGATATCCTTGTTTTTGTGATATTTTGACCACAAATATTTTAGAAGTATATATTGACACTATTTAAAAGTTTCACAGCTCAACTACACACTGGAAGTTTCAAAAAAGCATTATACACAGCATATATCCTAAAAGTCTCTTACATAACAAGCAATTTTGATATATTATGTCTCATAGTCTTTACTTAAAAAATGATTTTAAAGATAACCTTTAGTTTCAGTATGAGCTAGATAGCTGATTCACAAATGTTCATTATTTTTTTAAAAAGCATAGGGCTAGTTTAAATCTATAGTGTCCCCTGCCTATGTGTGAAGGTTTAGTCTTACTGGGAGGTGGAAAAACCTTGAGACGGGTCTAGTGGGAGGAAATGAGGTCACTGAGACTGTGCCCTTGAAGGGCATATTGAGATCCTGGCCCCTTGTCCCCCTCTTCATGCTTCCTGGATGCCAGAAGGAGAACAGTTTTCTTCCACAGCATGCTCCTGCCAAGATGTACTGTGCCACCCTAAGTCCAAAGCAATAAGGTCAAATGATCATACACTGAAACTCTGAGCCAAAATACCCATTTTCTCCTTAAGTTGACTGTCCCAGGGATTTTTGTCACAGTAATGAAAAATTAACACACTTATTAGTAAGATATGAATGAAAATGTTAAAAAAGTGCCATCTGTGGTCCCATGATTTGGATGCATTATGAACCAGGGGTTCTGATTAATCCAATTCTGTGAATCTGCTTCATTTAAAAAAATTATTATGAATTTGATTATTATTTTGAAGGAAAACTAAAACTGAAATGACTTCAGAATTAGTGTTAATGATACTATAAAAAAATTTTCTTTTTTAAATACTTACCATCCTTTATAGTTTCTTTTGTTAAGCTTCTTCCATAGTGCTGATTTTGTGTTTCATAGCTATCAGAATGAACATGATAAACCTATCAAAAAGAGGAAAGAAAAACAGTGAACACTAAAAAAAGAATACTCTTTGACCACATGAGGTTAACCCAGCAATATGAGTTAAAGGTGAGTTAAAAATGAAATCAACCTATATCATTCATTCTAATAGTTTGAAAAGAAAAAAATCATGTACTCATATCAACAGATGCTGAAAAAGTATTTAACAAATATAATATCCACTGTAGATAACCTTATCTATCTCAATCTACCAAAAGTTAGCATCAGGTTTAAAGGAAAAATAAGGAAGTATTTCTTTTAAAATATAAAAAGCTTCCACAAAAAGTATTCTATCACAATATTTTTTGTCATTATTATCATCTAATATTGTTCTGGAGTTAGTAGCAGATGCAAATAGATAAGACCAAAAAGTTGAGGTTTAATCATATAAAAAGGACAGTATAGAATTATTACTCTTCATAGGTAATTGCTGGATTAGAAATCGACTGAAAAATGAATATAAACAATAAAAATCTGAAATGGTGATTAAGTACAAATTAGTAAACAGAAAACAATCTTTTATAATCATAAAACCAGTCAGAAAATGGAAAAAAGATCCCATTTACAAATGAAACCAAAAGATTAAGACATATAAACTGAGTAAGTATAAAATCTATATGAAGACATCTTTAGAACATTCCTAAAACAAACACCCATGAATGTTCTCCAAATAGACAATTCCACTTCATAAAAGATATAAATTCTATTCAGATAATTTACAACTAACCACGTAAGTTAATTCTAAAGTTCACATAGAACAGGTGTGGCATACCCCCATAGTCCCAACCAAGAGACTGAAGCAGTAGAATAGCTCGAGTTTAGGAATTTTAGGTGCTAGTTTGGACAATATAATGAGGCCCCAACTCAAAAAAAGGATTGCCCTTTCTTCCAAAAAACACTTCACTTAGAAAAAAAAAAAGGAGAGCCAGGAAAAAACAAAATAGGACTAACCTTCCCTCCTAAAAATATTTTAGAATCAAACACATAAGAGAATTTAGTTATGTGATAATAGGATTTTAAACCAGTGAGAAAGGATGGATTACTTATCAAACAATGATACCTTATGCTGTACACCAAAGTAAATTCCAAATATATCAAAGACCAAAATGCACAAAATGAAATGATACCTCTTCTAAAAAAACAAACATGGAAGAAAGAATCCTTGAATAACATAATTAGAGAAGGCTTTTGCAACCAAAACTAAGAAATCAAAATACAAATTGAAAAACTAGCTGAGATTTATTATATGATGAATATAAGAAATGTTTACACTTAAGGAAAAACAAAGGATTTGAAGAGTTCACAGAAATCAAACAGCTCTCAAACTTACCAGGAATACAGCCCTTCCCTCTAAATGTGGCAACTGAAAAAGTCTCTTCTGGACATTGCCAAATGTCTCCCAGGGCAGCAAAATTGTCCCAGTTGAAAGACATGCTCCATGTCAGACAAATTGCCAATACCAGTCAAAATTATAAATGTATATGAGCCCAGCAATTTCCCTCTAAGGATTTATCCCAAGGATATGCTAGCACACTGATAAAATGAGGTAGTCTATGGTCATTCACTGTAACATTACTTATAACAGCAAAAGACTAGAACTAGAAATCCATCAAAGGGAACTGATTAAATTGTGGTATAACAATACTGTGCCACAATAGAAAGATCTCTGGTATATGTTAAGTGGGGGGAAAAGAGCAAAACACAAAATAGTATTCAAAGTAGGTTTTGTGATAATAGAACACACAGATGGCATATTTGCATAAGTTTAAAGTATCTCCACAAGGATACACTGCAGATAAAAAGAAAACTAAGATATTCTGTGTGGAGGTGAACTACTCACTATATGTTTCTATAGTTTTTGGAATCTAAACCATAAAAGTATGCATCTTCTCAAAAATTATTTTTAAGAAGCAGTAAGAATATATTTAGGGACTGGATTGTGGCTCAGTTGTAGAACGCTCACCTAGTGTGTGCAAGGCCCTGGGTTGGATCCTTGGCACCACATAAAAACTAAATAAATGAAACCAAAGTTATTGTGTACAATTAAAAGAAATACATATTTTAAACAAACAAAAAATAATATATTTGGAAATTGATACATTTTAACTTCCAGTCTGATATGGCTTATTACCATTTAAAATGTTTTACCACATTGAAAAAATTCAGACCACATTCTTTCTCACATATAGGCCTATTTAAGGCAGTAAGTGCTAGAGCTGGAACCCAGGTCCTCAAGTGTGCCAGGCAAGAGCTAGAACACTGAGCTACACCCCCAGCCAAAGAAAGACAATTTCTTTTGAACAAAATGGTACTATAAATGGCAAAAAAACATCAAAGATTACATTCGATTACAGGACAAATTATTTTTTTAAAGAACTGTTAAACACAACTAAAATTTTTTTTTAAAAAATCATAATATATATAAAACATCTATTTTACATGTTTCAAAAGGGTTTAGGGCTAGGGACATAGCTCAGTGGTAGAGCACATGTTTAACATGAGTGAGACCCTGAGTTCAATCACTAGGACCAATGAATAAACAAATAACCTTAAGATTCTAAGGCTGGGTGTGGTGATGTTTGCCTGTGATGCCAGCTACTCTGAAGGCAACACAAAAAGATGGCAAGTTCATGGCAAGCCTGGGCAACTGACTGAGACCTTGAGACCCTATCTCAAAAATAAAATTTAGAACAGAGTTGGGGACATAGCTCAGTCTTACCTAACATGTGTGAGGCCCTGGGTTCAATCTCTAGCAACGTGTACATACATACACACACACACACACACACGCGCGCGCACAAGATTCTGAAAGCACAGTTGTCACTATTCTATTATTCAGGAGCATATTTTCTGAGCCAAATTAAACCTCACATATGAATACCTAAATTTCACCTATAGACTAAAAGCTAAATAGTTTCAATGGAACTCCTTTATTGACTTTCTCTGTTCCTATGTTTATTTCTACTTCACTAAAACTGGAATGGAAAGAGATCTGAGAGTTTCTCCAGTCTCTACTTACTGCCAACTTTTGGCCAGTAGCAAAGATATTTGTAAATCAAAAGATACTCCCACTGGGTGCTATGCAGCTGCCTGTAATCCCAAGGGCTCCAGATGCTGAGGCAGGAGGATCACAAATTCAAAGCCAGCCTCAACCTCAGCAACTTAAAAGTTATACTCCCACCCTGAAAACACATGTGTAGCAACAAACAATGGAATTTTTAAAAACACCTAAGGAGATAGGATAAGGAGAATAGAATGCTGAATAAGCTACTGCTCTTCTTGGTTGGTATTTCTACATGAATTGATGTCAGGTGCAAAAAATTCAAACATCTAAATACATTTCACATTAAATCTATTGATGGAAAAGAGAAATTTAAATCCCATGTTATAGAAAAACAGAAATACATAAAAAATCTGATTTTTAGACAGTGTGGTCAATAAAGATCAAGCTTGCTTTTGCTCAGCATTCTATTCACCTTAGCATATCGCCTTAGACATTTTTTTAAAAATTCCTTTGTTTGTTGCTACACATGTGTGTGTTTTTAGGGTACGAGTATAACTTTCAAGTTGCTGAGGTTGAGGCTGGCTTTTTTTCTCCAAGTAACCAGGAATCAGTAATTAGGTAAGGTAACCTCTCCAAAGGGCAAGTATTTCTTTATCAAAAATTTAAGTTTAAGCCAGGCCTATAATTCAAGTGGCTCGGGAGGCTGAGGCAGGAAGATTTCAAATTCAAGGCCAGCTTCACCAAGCTGCTGAGGCCCTAAATAACTCAGTGAGACCCTGTCTTGATATAAAATATTTTTAAAAAGGGCTGAGGATGTTGCTCAGTGGTTAAGCGCCCCAGGGTTCAATCCCTAGTACCAAAGGGGGGGGGGAACAATTAAGTTGCTGCTAAAAATATACTGGAACACTGGACTGGGGTTACGGCTCACTGGTACAACATTTGCCTCATATATATGAGGTAATGGGTTCAATCCTCAGCACCACATAAAAATAAATAAAATAAAAGGTATTGTGTCTCTTTTAGATTTATCTTTACAAAATATAGATTTTTTAAAAATACTGGAACCACTAAAAACAAAATCATCTACAATCTTAAAATATATGTATTTAAAATGTTTCAGGTAAATTTTGCAAAATACATGCATTTAAAAATTTTTCAGGTGAATTTTACAAATTATATTTTAATTTAATTTTGGTGTATAAATGTAATAAATCACTACAGTTACACACCACATGTTTTCAGACAATACAGAAAATTAAATAACCATGTGTACAACTGTTAGCCCATATGGACACTATCACTATTTAAAAATACTACATTCCAAAGCAAGTCACTTCTCTTAAGTCAGTTATTATTTTTCAGTTTTCTAAATTGGTTCTTTAAGTCTGATGGTACAACTACTTTAGCAGCTTCTTAAAAAGCTAAACATAAACTTAACCATAGTAGCTACAAATTTCACATTTTAAGAAATCTACCCAAAATAAATAAAACTCGTAAATAGAAACTGGCAACAGCCAGTTTAAAAAAACTCCACCTTTTCCAAAATCACTCTATTCCCCATTTTTTTGACTCCTTTGCTTTACAGGCCCTATTTTGTTTCAACCTCATTTATTTTTTAGGTACTAGGGATTGAATCCAGAGGCACTTCAACACTGAGCTACATCCTCAGCCCCACCTTTTTAAAAAAAATATTCTTCATCATAGATGGACACAATATCTTTGTTTATTTATTTTTATGTGGTGCTGAGGATAGAACCCAGTACCTCATACATGCGAGACAAGTGCTCTACCACTGAGTTACAACCCCAGCCCCTCAGCCCTTTTGATTTTTTTATTTTGAGACAGGGTCTCACGAAGTTGTTGAGGCTGCTCTCCAACTTGCAATTCTTCTGCCTCAGCCTCCTGAATTGCTGTGGGAATTACAGGTGTATGCCACCATGACCAGCTCTACTCTTTTATAACACATATGTCAATAAA